TGATATATATATATATATATGATGTTCAAGCTTTGAATGCGTGCTGCCTTACAGGCTATGCTGCCGTCTACAAGAATAATATATAATATATTATATATCAGTAGTAAATAATAGACGGTTAGGTCTGTAGTTATCTTGGTCGACCTGTATATATATATATATATATATAGTACTTATGATGTTCAAGCTTTGAATGCGTGCCGCCTTACAGGCTATGCTGCCGTCTACAAGAATAATATATAATATATTATATATCAGTAGTAAATAATAGACGGCTAGGTCTGTAATTATCTTGGTCGACCTATATATATATATATAAATATATATATATATATAGTATGATGTTCAAGCTTTGAATGCGTGCCGCCTTACAGGCTATGCTGCTGTCTACAAGAAGCGCACGGACAACAGCATGTACGATGGCTGTGCGACGTTCGTCAAGCGCGACAAGTTCGTCATCGAGCGCGCTCGCGTCGTCGAGTTCTTCCGCGCCGGCGTCGTGCCGCTCTCCAAGCACAACGTCGCCGTGATCGTCGCTCTGCGTGCGCGTGCCGACCCCTGCATGACCTCCGACCCCGGTGTGACCCCTGGCGGCGGCGCGCGGCTCTTCGTCGCTAACACGCACCTGCTGTTCAGCCCGACGCGCGGGGACGTGAAGCTCGCGCAGCTCAACCTGCTGCTGGCCGAGGTCGATCGGGTCGCGTGCAGCGGCTACGACGACGCCGGTGCCGAGACGTACGACCCGGTCGTCGTCACCGGCGACTTCAACTCGCTGCCGCACTCCGACGTCTACAAGCTCACGACGAGGGGCCTGCTGCAGTACGCGGGACTGAACTGCGGCACGATCTCGGGACAGGAGAACGCGCGGGCGCGGCTGCTGGACGCGCAGCTGCTGCCGGACTGCGTCGGCGTGTCCGAGCAGTGCCAGTACATCGCCGTCTGCCGGCAGAGGTTGATGTACGGCTGCCCCGTCGCCACGCCGACGCCGACGACGACGACGCCGGCCGATCTCGGGCATTCCTGGAGTGAGATTGACGGGATGTGGGAGCAGCCGTATTTGCAGCGGCATCTGCAGCAGCAGCAGCAGCAATATCAACAGCGGCAGCAGCAGCAGCAGCAACAGCAACAGCACCTGCAGCTATATCAACAGCAGCAACAGCAGCAGCAGTATCTGCAGCAGCATCTGCAGCAGTTTAACCAGCGGCAGCAGCAGCGTCTGCCGCAGCGACAGCTGCGGGAGCACACGCTTGCGTCGGGCATGCTCACGCACAGACTGAACCTAGCCTCCGCGTATGAGCACCGCGACGCGGGAGGCCAGCCCGAGGCGACGACCTCTCACGGGAGAGCCAACTGCACGGTCGACTACGTCTTTTATGGCGTCGCGCTGAAGGAGTTGTTAATAGACGCGGATGGCAACGATCACAGCTCAGTGGTTGCCGAGGGCGCGCTCAAGTTACTGGGCAGGCTCTCGCTGCCGTCGGACGCGGACTTGGATAAACATGGGAGGTTGCCGAGCAAGTTTCTGTCGTCGGATCACGTTTCCCTCGTGACGAAATTTCTGTTGACGTCCTAATGGTTAAAGGCGTTAGAGAGATGTGCTTTAGGGAGTTTTCTCATGTGCAATATGGATCTGCTCACCCTATGCATTTTAGTGAATGTTGTGGGTCGTGAAGCACGATAAAACTAGCTTAACCAGGACGATAAATTCTCGTAGCAAGCATAGTTCAGCGCTGCTGTACTCGAAGCTATTTTAGTCGAGTTACGGTTAAAAACAAATGCAGTGAGTAAGCAGTTTCTTCACTAAGTTCACTGCTCTAAGTTGAGTTCGAGTGATGCTGTGCATGATAATATCAAGAGCGTATTAAGAAGGAGAGCGTACAATGGTGAAATGCTAAAACCATGCTGCAGTATTAGTCGAATTAATCATTTTTGCCCATTTTATTTTGACGATTCTTTGTGGTATTATTGATCAGCTGTCTTACCTTGTTAATATAAAACAAATTGCATGTCGCTACGATGCCTCTACGCTGAGATAATGAGCGGTGAAAATCTGGTATTTTCGCCCAAAACCGACTCGAGATACGTAGTGGCTGCGACTGTCTCTCGTTCTGGCAATAGCTTCGGGAAACCTCGCGTGTTTCCGTCATTCATTGACAATGAAATTTATTTTCCTTCTACTATCTTTTCTCACATTTCCAGTCATTGACGCAGCCATTACTCCACAAAAACGTCTTGTTATTTATTGCCATGGTGATGACCCGCCCCTTACGCTGGATGTAGTAACGCTGTAGTAATAACGTATCGAGTCATCGCTACACAGCAGCGACCGGAAGCAACATACAGTACACAAAACGAGAGACAGTCGCAGTAAAACTGATCTCGAGTCGGTTTTCAGCGAAAATACCAGATTTTCACCGCTCATTATCTCAGCGTAGAGGCATCGTAGGGACATGCGGTTTGTTTTATATTAACAAGGTAGGACAGCTGATCAATAATACTGCAAAGATTCGTCAAAAAAAACGGGGAAAGTTTAATAATTCGACTAATACTGCAACATGGTTTTAGCATTTCACCGTTGTACGCTCTCCTTCTTTATACGCTTTTGATAATATATATGGTGCCAGCATCACCACTAGTTGTCTTGTCGGTGTGGTCATACGCACAAAGTGTACTTCCCAAGTTGCTATATATTCTTATACGTGTAGCTAGTTGCGCATGCAAATATGCGGTGCTATTTGCTATCTAGTCATGCGTAACAAAAATTGAGAATGACTATTTCGAACGAAATGATTTAGGTGTCACCGGTGATGACTTTTTTTATTTACATAAGCCGCGTTCACACGTAGCAAGAAATCCGGTATTTAGCGTTCACACGAGGCAAACTACTGAGCGCCCAGAAATACGGTATCTAACAGATCCGGTATTTCATGTAAATACGAGACTTCCCAGGACCTCGAATAATTTTGCCGCTGCTTGAGTAAATACGCGGAATTTCTGTGGACCGCCGCATTCGTTCGTCGTTGAACGCTAATACCGGATTTCTGAAGCCGCTCAGTTTGTATATGACTGGTTACGCCGGCTCGCGAGAGCAGTCTCAGGTGTAACGCGAGTCGAACTGTCCGAGCGGGACCAGTCTACGATATTTATCGGCAGTATGGTTTGCGGTGTGGGCATTGCATGTTTACTTCGCATTGTTCGCTTGATTGGTTTAAAGCAGCTCGCAGCTCGCAAATACCCGTATTTCTCGGAGCCGCGAATCAGCGTGCTGAACGCTCGGCGCGCGTATTTGTCTCAGATTCGTATTTTCGCGAATACCGTTTTTCATAAATACGAGGTCTTCGTGGTGAACGAGGCTATTCAGCGGTGAATGAGAATATGTTGATATAAAGTTGATTATGTGATATATGATGGTTTGAATGTGATTTGTGCTGCATCAGAATACATCAATGGAATTAAATATATTAGGGGCAAGGGTGGCTTCATATCTCACGCTTACTAACCATGTCTCATGTGTTTGTTTATACTAAATTTGAAGTAAACTCGCTATGTGCCATAAATCACATGTCCTATGTATGTTGGATGGACTTCATTGTTCCTGGTAATTTATATCATTGTAGTTAGAAGGATAAATTCGTTAGAGCTATTTTAATACATAACAGTGGTCTTGGATTTGTTACATCATTACACGTTTATGTGTTAAATAAATGAATAAATAATAATATAATATATAGATAGTATATATATACTATATATATACTATTTCATTAATATAAGCAAATTCTTATAGTAATTCGTAGCGATTAATCTACTTGTTGATTAAAAAACTTTTGGAGGAAATCTCATGTTATAGAATGTTGTGCAATGGCAACTCAATAGGAGGGCGCGCTATAAGCGAAAACGCACGAAAGTGAAGGGAAACGACCATCCAACTCCGCTCCGGTTTAGGTCTATCATTCACGGCGGTAGCAGGAGATAATTTGCAATTTTGTCACGTGGTTAGTTGTTATAACAATTCAGATGTAATCGGCGGTGGAGAAGAGGGAAGGCGAGGGGGAGATAGGGAGAAGGTGGTGGAGGGAGGGAGAAGCTGCGTGGAAGGAAGGAGGCGGGGAGAAGCTGGTGCAGAGGAGGTGGTTGGAGAAGGAAGGAGTGAGTGGAGAAGTGTGCAGGGAGGTGCCCTCTCCCGTGGCACCACCTTCTCCCTTCTCCACCACCTTCCACCACCACCTTCTCACCACACTCTCCTTCTTCCACCAGCTTCTCCCTGTCTTCCTCTCTTCATTCTCACCAGCTCTCCCCCTCCCCTTCTCCACCAACTTCTCCCCTCCTCCTTCTCACCACCTTTCCTTCCCCTTCTCCTTCTCCACCAGCTTCTCCCCTTCTTCTCCACTTAAGCATTTCCTCCCCCTCCTCACCACTTTCTCCCTTCTCCGCCTCCCTCCTTCTCCACAGGCTCTTCCCTCCTCTTTCTCCGCCCATCTTCTCCTTCCCCTTCCTCCTTCTCACCAGCTTCTCACCCTCCCTCGCTTCTCCACTACTTCTCCCTTTTTCCTTTTCCCCTTGCCTCCTCCTTCACCCATCGTTCTTCAGCAGCTGGAAGTGACGTCACGAACACGCGATTACAACTGATTGGTTATAACATAAACCACGTGATAAAAATATGCAAATTATTCCTTACCGGCCTGAATATAGACAAACCATAGAGTTATATATTACGACCCTAGAGGGCGGACTCACGTCCCATTCGCGAGGGATATATTGTTTCTATGCCACGACTGATCGCGTGACGTCAGTGTACGTCACGCACGACTCGCGCTATCTCTGAAGTACAGTTGATGCCATACAGCGCTAGCTGCTGAATCGGCTACATCACCACATAACCTGATGCAAAAACCTAACCCTAACCCTAACCCTAAACCCTAACCCTATCCCTCTAACCCATAACCCTAACCCTATCCTAACCCTAACCACTAACCCTAACCCTAAGCCCTAACCCTAACCCTAATTAAAATTATAATTAACACTCAATACTAAGACACCTAACACTAACACAAAAAAAGTTAAATGGATAAGAGATAGAAAATAGGAAAAATAAAAAATATTAAACAGATGGATTCGAACCATCACCTCAAGAAGAACTCGTTCGCGGCCTTCCGCCTGCCGCTATTCTGCGTCTCGCTCAAATGCATGTATTCTGTATTGTGCCCTAGATGCATACCATGCGATGTGCTGTGCCGTGATTGCGCTCTAGCACTGACGTTCACACTGACCGTACGACTGACATCACGCGATGCAGTCCGGCTGGCATTAGAAACATATATCCCACTACAGCGCTGTGCAGTTCGTGGAGCGGCTCGGCGCCATACTGATAAGCGGGAAAACTTCTGCCTACTCACACTTCACAGGAATTTCCTAATTGAATGGACGGCAAGAATCGAAAATGCCAGAATCTCATGCTGTTGCATTACCGGTTGCAATAACAGGTTACAAAAAGGAAGTTGGCCATAAATCTTTCACAGGTAAGCTTCCCATATTTAACTTTTATTAAATCTTATGCAAGCTGTTTTAGAGGCCAAAAATGAACTCGTACTAAAATTTTACAACAGGCGCGGTCTCAAGTTGTTTACTTTGGAAATTGATTTGTTTGCAGATGCTGTGTAAATGTTAGTACAGGCGTATAACCATTTCACCAGTATTGTGCTTTGCTAGACAGAGGCATGAGCTCGCCCCGCCCCCCATTTGGCTGCTGCCGGAGATAAAGGGGGTTGCCAGCTTTAGGAGGCGAACACGCATACCCTAAATAATACTGAGTCAGTGAGTGGGGCGGATAAATATACCAGTAATAATATTTTTTATATATATCATTAATATAATAAAATAATTATATATATATACATAATTAATACAGTAGGATAAGTCACATAAGTAATCCTGAATCATCTGTAGTGTGTACTGCCATTAAGGCTATTAAAAATTCTGTAGCGTTTTACTTGAACCGTCTGAAGCTTGTAGTTGGCAGTGGCCAAACATCTCGCATCCATCACCAGCTATTTGAGCTAATTATTCCACCGGTAAGTGTGTAAACAACATTATTTTGACAACATTCAAAAATTGTTATTTCATTGTTATTATTGATTTATGCAGCATTAGTCAATCTAGAGCTTTTTGTGTGCCTGTGACAACTATAGGCCAAGAAACACTGCAGCGAACAGCGACCGACCGTAACACACAAACGAACTTTTCAGGGAAAGTTAGAAACATATTGTTTCCATATGATCCATTGCACACTGACAGTGACGACGAGCACGGACAACCTCGACGACAAAAATAAATTAGAACCGTTATCTATTTCCAGCGACCTGTCAGCGGGCATCGTATCATTGCATGATCTGCCGTCGGTCTGTATTGCTAAGCGTTGTGTGTATTACAGTATAGTCAGAAGTTAGCTCTAACAGTGTAGACCTATCGCTCCTGCCACAGGCGCTCCTGGAACTTCTGCGCAG